CGAAACACGCGAGCGAAGAGGAAGGCGAGCCGTCGCGAACGAACAGGGAGCAGTCGCGCGAAGCGCTTCCCAAAAACCTTATTGCCGCCTTCTCCCGGTGCAGGACGTCAAAGGCAGAGGTTCCGGAGACCTGCTCTCCCGATCGCTGGTGCACGCCGGCGAGCGGGATGGAGTAGTCTACGAGCGACGGCGCAGTACAGAGTAGAAGGCAAACCCTAGATTGATTTTCGCATATATTGCGTGAAGACGGCGGGTCGGTTTATATAGAGAAAGGTCGCTTGATCAGGGCGCCCGCACGATCTCTACTGCGCCAGGCCAGGCGAGGCGAGCGAGCGCGCGCGTGTGTTTCCCCTCTTCTCTCCACCACACATGCTTCAAGTGGCTAGGAGGGCATCCTCCCTTTTAAGGAGGTCCCCCTCTCCTAGAATAAGCAAGGTGGTACTAAACTCCACATGCATGCCATCCCATGAGGTGGGCTTTTGTGATTTTCCAAAGAATTAATCTTCGAGTGGGCTAAGACCCATTCATTAATTCCAACAGGTGATTAATCAGCTTAGATAGGGAGTGATATGATGTGTGGGCTAGATGGCTAGCTTGGTCATTATTTATATAGGTCAATTGCATTGCCTACATCGCCCAGTTAATTGTTATTGGCTCTCCTAACTTGTTTTATTACCTTGTTGTACCCGTATTACTGGTTGGGCTAATCAAACGATATGATCAGTAGCTGATTTATATTTGCTGGTTTTGTACTAAGTAAAGATGAGGTGATTAATATTTATGCTTTAAGTTAATTAGTGAGTACTAGAAATGCCGGCGATCGGACGTGGTCAGAGGAAGCGAACAAGCGAGAGTGGTGGCGTTTCTGTCAGTTAAGACCAGATACTCATCAATATCAAAATATAACAATTTAGTATTAAATAAAATACAACCAAATATAATATTTTGAGATAGAGATAATAGAACGTAATGCACTGATGATAAACATAAGATAGATGTTATATTACAAGTACATAACTTAACATCCCAATCAAATCATCTGTGACAAAGGCCTCCAACCAAAATCAGATAGGCACTTAGGCACCGTCACATAGGCACCCGGAGAGGCTCACCTCAGACCTCATTGCCGAACCTATCACCGATGATCCTCATGACTATTTTTCATGAAAACACACATAAAAGATTTTGAATATGCCAGGGAGGGCCGTAAAGTATGAGATTTTATGAACTTGAAAATGCTGTAGATTTTACTTAACGCATACTACTTCCATCCTACTTACTAAGGTGTGGTCTTTGCGCGTTCGCGAAAAAAACTAAGGTGTGGTCTTTAGAACTACTTGACTTTGAATTTCTCAAATACTATGATGTTTGTAGCAACAAAATCATAATTATATTAAAGTAAATTCAAATACCAATCAAAATACTATTTTTAATAAAAGAAATCTAATTTATAAAATATTGTTGGTTAAATATTTAAAGATTTAAATTTTAAAATATGTGTATGCCTTATTAAGTGGGACGGAGGGAGTACAAGCGCGGTGAACTAGATTTTTACTTTGTTTAAAATATGATTTTCGCTTAAATAGTCATGTATGTTTTGTTTGTAAAATAACATCATTCTGTGGTGTTTGCACTAATTATATTTGAATTATTAGCCTACCATTAATATGTCTATAAAATTCAGTTTCTGACGTCTCAAGAGAAAATGGTTCTATACTCTCCTGCTTTCATCCACCGTCCATCAGCAAGCAGTCCAGATCAAGGATATGCCGCTTAATTGCCGCATCTACATATATATGTCTGCCGATCTCGATTGATTAAATTGGTCATGACTTAATTGGATTAATTGGATGCATTAGCTGGAGTATGCAAGAATATGCATCAGCAGGCGGCTAGCATTGCTACTAGCAATGCAACCTGACTAGCTATCTAGCTAGGACGAATTGAATTATTGAAGATACCAATGTTCCGGTACCGATTTATTTATTCCATGATATACATGCATGTTAATTTTGAGTTGCTGTTTGCTTCACACACAGAGAGATGATCGATGCTGAGTCTGAGATACGCATAAATACAGTACAAATGGAGCATAAGGCAGGCGTACGTGCCTTATCATACATACTACCTCCATATTTTAAATGTATGAAGCCATTGATTTTTTTTCAACGTTTGACCATTTGTCTTATTCAAAAATTTTATGTAATTATCATTTATTTTATTGTGACTTGATTCGTCATCAAATGTTTTTTAAGTATGACATAAATATTTTTATATTTGCATAAAATTTTTGAATAAAACGAATGGTCAAACGTTGATTGAAAAGTCAACGATGTCATACATTAAAATACTGAGGGAGTATATTAGTAATTAATTAACTGATGACGGGGACCTTGACGACGATGAAGTTGTTGTCCACGAAGACACGGACGCGCTTGGGGTTGAACTCCGGCGAGACGACGGCGGCGGCGTCCCGCAGGAGCACCTCCACCGCCACGTCCGGCCTGTCGTTGCTGATCTGCGTCACCGCCAGCGGCGCCAGCTCGCCCAGCACCTCCGCCCACCTCACCTTCTTCTTCTCCATTGCTCCTTCTTGTTGTTAACTCCGGCCTCTCTAGCTGACCTAATTAGCTAGCTGATGATCCGGCGATCCAATTATAATATATCTCGAATTTTAATCACGCGTAACGAGATGGGGAACATTTATAGTTCATAGGAGGATAGGATATCCACTGGAAAATGCGAAAGCCATCTGCATCTGCATTGCTAGAAATTAACCTTGTGTTGTTTACATACCCATATCGATCATCGTCCATCGGTATCACACCATCTCGATCGATCGGTAGCCCCGTCGCCCAAGAACATATTGGCGATCGATGCTTTTGGGAACGACGTTCGTTTCAGGCTGGTACCTCCCGTACGTGTGGGCGATTTTGATAGGTATATTTGTCAATAAATTATTTTGCCTAAAATTTGGGGTTTCTGCGCAGCCGCTCCGATGATGCTCTTCAGAACAGAACATATCCATGCAACTGACCCGGCTGTTTGATTGTTTGTTACGTACTAATTAAGCTAGTGGTACTAACTATAGTACACTAGCTAGGACAGATGCAAATCATCAAATTAGGAGTTACAACCAAAGCTTGCTCCGGCAACGGTGACATGCCCAATGCAAAATCAGCAAATGCATCCATGCTCGGCTTAACTCTGATCTGATCCTATATATACCAGCTTAATCAATAGCACAAGAGCACACACTTGCATGCAACTAATTAACTAGTTATCTCTGCAGCTTGCTGGTAGAAATTAAGTAGAAAGGGCGCAGATCGAGGATGAGCAGCGAGAAGAAGGCGTCGTGGCCGGAGGTGGTCGGGTGGCCGGCGACGGCGGCGGTGACGCAGATCAACGGCGACCGGCCCGACGTCTCCATCGAGGTTATCCCCGACGGCGCCACCGTGCCGCCGGGCTTCGACGCCAACCGCGTCCGCGTCTTCTTCAACGCCGGCGACGCCGTCGGCCCCGTCATGCGCACCCCCTTCGTCGGCTAGTTAGTTAATTACTCCGGTCGGCGCCATTAATTCGAGCCACTATATTGTACTGTTCCTTCCAATTTGCAACCATTTTACTCACATATCCTCAGCGAACTTATTTGATTTCTTAATTACTCCATATATGGTTTGATTTGATTTTTAATATAGAGGAAATAAAGTTTGGTATAAAAAAAATTGCGTACACTATCTGCAAGAATGTTACCGACGGGCGCAGCAGCCAGCATGCAGGGGATGCGTAGCGCAGGGCATATCGTTGATTGTTGTTGCTGGCATAATCGATCTCTCTATAGAACCTGAACTGGACAATATATAGAGAGAGAACTTTTGCAAGTTCTTTTTGCCCCCAAAACTTTAAGGTTTGTGATCATCGGATCACATCGAGATATGTGCATAAAGAGAAAAAAAATGCTAAAAAGAAATTTTCACACATACCAAACGTAAGATTCCGGTGCTAAGTAACCAAATCAGAGTTGAATTCAAGTTTTATATAAGTTATATCGTATTTACCGTGTAGTTACAATGCAATTACATTATAGTTATAATGTAATTATATCTGAAACTTTGAGGTTTGTGATCATCGAATCACATTGAGATTTGTGTATAGAGAGAAAAATTGCTAAAAAGGAATGTTGCATAAAGAGAAAAATTGCTAAAAAGGAACACATATCAAACGTAAGATCCTGGTACTAACTAACCAAATTATAGTTGAATATTTATAAGCATTGATTCCATCACTGTGTTCATCGCATTGCCTCAATGCTTCTACTGGTGCGCCGTGAATTTGTTCTAGCACCCAGTTAGCAGCAGCAACAGCGGCAACCCTCACCATCGCAATCTGATCGATCGATTTATGGTGAAAAGAAGAGATTTGGTTGATTGGTGAATGTGTTCTGATGATCACTATCTGCCGGGATGCCTGAATTTACTGAACATCGATCTTACTCTCCGGAATTCTGAATGTATACTGCTTGCTGCTGATCGATTTATACAATGTCCAACCATTTGCTGTGTGATTAAGTATTTTTCCGGTCGAGATTGGCAGGCAGCATTCAGATCTATAGTGTACTCCTCAGTAGTTAATTGGGTAATTTGGAACCATGCCATTATAATTTTTTAAAGTTTGAGATATGCCATTGTTTTGTTTACTGAGCTCTCATGTTTGGTGAATGCAGAAAGCTTCGCATTGCGAGGGGTGATTCAGGTGAACTGTCAACTGACCAAATGCATATACACACGTCGATTGGCGCATTGTTGCTGAAGTGACGAAGTTTTTATCAAGTTTCTATGAAAATATAGCAACATTTTGAACACGGAATAAACATATTATCAAAATATATTAAATATTGGTTTTAATAAACTAATTTGCTATTGTAGACATTGCTAATTTTTTTATAAACTCGATTAAACTTAACTAAGTTTGAATATAAAAAATTAAAATAACTTGTAATATGACAGACGAAGGGAGTTTTTTTTAATACTAAAATGGACTCTTTCTCTCTCTCCTAGGAACAAGTGAAATAAAGAAGCAAGATGCTTAATTACATACGTACACGGTAGACCAATACATTATACAATACTTGTACAAATTCCACACATAATTTTTCAAACCATGCAACGCCGATCAACTAGATCGTACGTATTTATTTAGAATACACTGTATATATCTGCATACATAGACAGATATATTCATCCAAACTTGGGCTGTATATTAGCTGGTGGACTGGATCATGAATGCTTTGCTTGCTTCATTGGCCCAGTTAGAGCTATGGGCTTCCACCGCCGTTTCTAGGGACAGAATTGTAGCCACTCCTTCCTGCATTATCACCAGGCCATATGTCAATTGTAATAAATGCAAAAATAAGATAAATTTGAGTTTAGTTTCTGCACAAGTTAATCAGCAAGTGCGAGCTCAAGTTGGGTATTTGCATCGTCCTCGGTTCATACCATTGGGATTGACCGAATTGTAGCCACCCCTCCCTACAAGGACAACAAATTAAAATTATTCATTGTACACATGCAAAATTTTCAAAAATAATTCAGAAACCATTTTATATTTCACGTTAAGTATTAGGGAATTTTTAGAGGAAAAAAACACATCAAAGAGGGGGCTTTATTGAATTGGGTTTTCGTAAATACGGTTCATACCATTCGGATTGACTGAATTGTAACCACTCCTTCCTACAAAGACAACAAAAATATTTAATATACATATGGAAAAATATCTATAGCAATTTAAAAACCTATGTGTTATGGCGGAAAAATGGGATATGCACATAAATAACTTTGAGTTTAGTTTATGTGCATATTAATCAAGTGAAGGCTAGCTATAGTTGGGTTTTCGTGCCATCCTCAGCCCATACCATCGGGATTGACTGAATTGTAGCCGCTCCTTCCTACAGGAACAACAATTAAACACGATTAGTATAAATACATATGTAAAATTTCTAAACAACTTAAAAACATATGTATATATGGTGTAAAAATGTGGAAAATTTAAGAGCAAAAACACATCTAAGTGGAGGCTTAATTAAGTTGGCTTTTTGGCTTTTTTTTTTACAGTGCATACCATCAGGATTCACTGAATTGTACCCACTCCTTCCTGCAAGAACATCAATTAAACATATTTAGTACATACATGCAAATTGTCTAAACTACAACTTAAAAACATATGTATGCATGTGTAAAAATGTGGAAATTTTCAGAGGGAAAACACATCTAAATAGAGGCTTAATTAAGTTTGGTTTTCGTAGTTCATATACCATCGGGATTCACTGAATTGTAACCGCTCCTTCCTGCATGGACAACAAAAGGTTATTTAAGTATACACATGCAAAATTTGTAAACAACTTCCCATATACATATGGTGTAAAAATGTAGAAAATTTAGGAGTGAAAACACATCTAAGGGCATCTCCAAGAGAATGCTAAACAGGTTACTAAAACATAAATTTTAGGAATTTGGTGAAAATCAGCCCTCCAACAGACTCCTAAGCATGGTCCCAAAATTTAGCCACCTCCAAAACCAGGACCAACCTGAACCAAATATTGGGCAACTAGAAGCGCTCCCAAATTTTAGTCCTCTCTTGGAGAAGGGGGTGTATTTTAGGCTAAATATGTTTTTGGCTGTCCCCAATACATGATTTTTGGGAGTTTAATTTTAGTCATCTATTGGAGATGCTCTAAGTGTAGGCTTAATTAAGTTGTGGGTTTTTCGCGGTTCATATACCATCGGGATTCACTGAATTGTAACCGCCCCTTCCTACGTGGATAACAAAAAATATATTTATTACACACGTGCAGAAGTTTCTAAATGATTGCTTAAACATAGAGAAATGTTCACAGATAAATTAGCATGCATGCAAACATACGCGGCTAATTACCTGCTTCGACGGAGATGGTGTTCATGGTGCAAAGCAGAGCAGCCACAAGCAGGAGCATCAGGCAAAGAGTGAAAGAGTATTGCTTCCTCATCATCTCTGATACCCTGCAATGCCTCTGCAACTCTACAGATTTTTCTTCTTTAATTCAGGTAAGATCTAGTTGCAGTTCTTGCTGTTTGCTTATGTTCCATTTTGGTTAGGGCTGTATTTATAGACTCGGTAGTGGAGACTGGCCTTGCATGCACGGTACAGTACCATTTTTCTCACGCCGCCACAATTTCTTACTATTTGTGTTGATTTTAGTCCCTCTTTTTTTTTTCAAAATCAAGGTCAATATCATATCGACCATCATCGTCAGAGATGCAAGTTTTTCCTCGTTCAAATCACAGTGTTTATCTTGCTTTGTCAGCAGAACTCTAGCTGGGGGAGTAAATATATGTACGCAGTATTTCAGTGGATATATACAAAATCAAACAGAGGCAAAGTCTTTATATATGTACAACTTGCTTTGTTCTAAAATATAAGTATTTTTAAATTATTAGCAAAATACTTGTTTAGGTCAAAATATTTTTATTTCGTCACTTCACTGGTCAATATTTTTTTAATTTTTGAATTACTTAGATTTTCTTTCCCAATATCTGGTTGGCTTTGAAATTATTGAAATAATAATGAGAATTGTAAAAATCAGTAAATAAATGTATATATTATGTAAAAGTTTAAATCATAGAGATTCTTATATTTTAAATTGAAGGGAGTACTTGCTAGCTTGAGATCAGAGACTATGAAAACATAATACACGTACGCAACTAATGCCATTCGAAATGCTCCACTGACCTTGTCAAAGAAAGAAGACTTTGTGCGCTATTTATCACTGTTCAGATAAACATTAAACATAACTTATTTTGCAGATTGTTTGTGTTGGGTCAGCACAATCATATCACAAAACAAAAGGGAACCTGTAGAAAAGTATGCAGCCGAATACCAAGACAATGCATGATTGTCAAGAACGCCGCCACTTAGTTGACAAATTCGGCAGAAAAACAAGGAGACATGTACTCAAAATTATGTTTGAATGCCGACTTGATTAATTTTCATATTAACTACTGGATGGGAGGAGCCAAAAATTCAACCTCGTGCGCACGGTCAAGTAATATAACGTACATGTTCCCACTCATATTTCATTGTATTAACTCCGTTCTTAAATAAAAACTCGTATTTCATAGTATTGATTCTTAAATATAGGCATTTGAACACCCGGCTTATTAAAAAACTATTATTTATCAATAACATTTATTTATTTTACTTGTTTGTATCATTAAATGCATTTTAAGAATATCTACATATTTTATTTTCATTAATTTTTTTTAGAAAGACAAATGGTGTATAAAAATTAAAAAAGGAGTATTCCACTCAAAGCAAATAAAAACATAGAGAGTAATCCATCCATCGTATAAAAAATCAAAACTAGTACTGGATGTGTCACGCCCCGAACTAGCCCCGAACGGAACTAGCCCGTGACGCTCCAAATTAACCTGTTAATCGATACCAGTCCCAGGAAACAGTGCTGGTATCACAGGAAGACAGAATATCACAGCAACAGTGGTCTCTTTATTATAGAGTAGGAGTACAGTCATGTTGGGCTACGGACAGATCCCGAGCTCACAACTGTATTACAAAAGAGAAAAGCGGAAGCCAAGACTTGGACCAAACATCACAGGCACGACTTGGGAACTAGGCCGAAACCCTAAAACTCTTCGTAACCGACTTGCTCCTAGAAGAACTCCTCGTCAGCGGGATCCACATCATCCTCTTCAGCAACTGGGGGGGAATTATTTATATAGAGCAAGGGTGAGTACAGGAGTACTTAGCAAGCCATGGGAAATAAGTGTTTAATGCAGGCTTCGAAGGAAAGGCTATTGTTTTTGCAATTGATTTTATTTAAACTCTTTTCTGAAACAACTAAGTGAGTGCTTCTCAAACGACACGGATGAGACAGTGCGTCTCGTCTGGTCGGAGTATGTGCAATGTATCAGTCTTTTGATTTGATCAAGGTTGGCACCTGGCCAACAGCTTTCAAACGGCCACCCGGGCCTGGCTGATCCCATCAGCCGCAGATTTTCCAAACATCGAACCCAATTCCACAACAGCAAATTTCACAAAGCAGTAGTCAAACAAAACTACGCTAGGAATCACCTCACATCCGCCCATGACCATAGGCACGGCTGTTCGAACAGTTTAATAACCTCTGCAGAGGGGGTACACTTTACCCACACGACATTACTAACCCGAATCACCCAGCCCGTGTAGAACGGCCACGTCTGGTGACCTAAGGGCTTTCATGACAAGGCATTTCGAGAGCAGACACAGGGTTGCCATATGCCGACGAGAGGGGTCCCAGACCAACAACAGGTTAGGTCCCAGACCATACTGTGCCAGGAAGCCCGGGGGTTCTCCCCGACACCACCCCGTTGAATCCACATGTCTCTCGGCATCAAGGCTCCCCCGATTAGCTAGTTACTCAGCCAGGGGTGTCTCATTCCACCCATGTGGTCGCACTTGTCTTATGTTCGGATGAAATTCCAAGGAAACGGTCCTTAAGTGCAAGAGCGGGAAACCGTACACCCGGTACATTCCCCGGTCCGCGATTTTGGAAATTCATTTAGTTCGCAGGCACCGACCTAGGTGTCGGGTTTTCCAAATCTTTTGTAAAACCCAAGTTTTACCCAAGATGTTTCTCAGATTTTAAGTTTGAAGGCGACCGTCGATACTCGTGCAGAGTGCATGATTACCGAGACGCAACTAGGTGGTTACAAGGGAACATGGTATAACGATTAACAATGGATGGATCAGATGCAACAAGTTAGGTAGGCCCACCGGTCTGTCTTGCAGACGGGGCAAACAGATTAAGTGCAATCCTATCAATGCATAATATTTTGCAAGCAATATAATTAAGTTCAAATATAGGCTCAATATATTCAAAGGTGGCTTGCCTTGCTCGATATCTTGAGCTTGATCCTCGAAATCCTCGCATTGCAGGTCTTCGGGCTCCGAAACTACACGCGAAACGGGACAACTCAACAAATGGCAAAAATAAAGCCCTAATATTGACCTCTAAGCATGCCATTAGATAGATCTCGAGATTTGAGGAATTTTGGAAGTTGAACGGAGTCAAACGGTCTTACGGTTGGGAAGATATTGAATTTCTAAGATTATTGGATTTTTGATCTAAAGGAAAAGGATTTATTTAAATCCTTTTTGAAAAAGAAAGGAAAAGAAAAGAAAGAGGGAGGGAAATTAGACTTTCCTCGGGCGGCTAGGGCGCGGCCCGAGAGAAAGGGGCGGCTCGGCCGAACTTAACGGGCCGGCCGGCCCGAGAAGGCGGCCCAAAGCGCGCGCGCGGGCGGGGAGGAGAGAAGAAGCCGGTGGGCCGGGTCCATCTCGCGTGGATCCGGGTGGGACCCGCTTGTTGGCGGCTCGGCTCACCGTGAGTGAGGTGCACGCGGGGCGGCGCTAGGGTTTGGCCGGGGCACGGCGCACGCGCGCGGCTCGTGGAGGACGCGGGTGCGGCGGGCCCACGCGCAGCCTTACGGCTCACCGTGGACCACGCGCACGGGGAGGGTGGAACGGAGGGAGCGGCTGACCGGGTCAGCCGATCCGGTCGTGCCGAGGTGGCTCCGACGTGGCTGCCACGCGGGCCGGCTGGAGGAAGACGAAGGCGCCGGCCGCGAATGGACGGCGGGCGGCGGCGGTTTCTCCGGGACGCCGTGCGATGACGAGGGGCGACGGGGTGTACACCGGAATGACGAGGGAGAACGAGAGGGTGCGAGCCAACGGCTTGGATTCGCCGGAGGGAGTTCGTCGGCGGCGGATTGCGGCGGCGGCAACCGGCGGCGAGAAAAGGGGGAAACGGCGACGAGGTCACGAGGGGCTGATTCCCGGCGGTGAGAGCATCTACGCGGCTGCGGGAATCCATCCCTTGCGCCGGATTAGGGGGAAACGCACCGAGGGAGGCCGGCGACGAGAGGCGCTTCCGAGCTCGGGCGGCGACGGCGGTGAGCACACGGCGAGCGACAGCAGCAGTCGGGGCGGCGCCAGCTAGCTACTGGGGTACTACACACGCTACTAACCGAGTCTAAGGGGAGGAGATGGATCGAGGAGGGAGAACGGGGGAATGCACTACCGAGATGAGGCGGGGCGCTGTGACGAGAGGCCGACGGCACGGGAGTGATCTCTCCAGCCTCGGGCCGGGGAAGAGGAAGAAGAGGGCGCACCCGGAGTCCCCTTCCGCGTCCTCGCTCGTGCCGGCTCCTCTGACACGCACGACGACGAACGGCGACGGCGAACAGAGCACGGGAGGCGGCGACAATGGAGTGGAGGCGATGGGACAAAACGAGAGGAGAAGGGAGGGAGGGCGCCTGGGCTTTATAGGATGGCAACGTCGGTTTGGGAACCGACCTAGGGCGGTCAAGGGAGAGAGCTAGCGCTCGGCGATCGCGGCCAAAACGGTGACAGGGAGGAATGACGCCGGCGGGAGAGAAAAGGGAAAAAGGAGGAGGGAAAGTGGGCTTGCCCCCTTGCCACTTTGGGGAAAAGGAGGAGGGAGAGAGGGCGACGCGGCAGAAGGGGGGAGCTCTGCCTCCGTCCCTTGGAAGCTAGCGCGCAGAGTGGCGGAGCCGGGTTGTGACGACGGCGATGACGGCGGGGGCGGTGTGGAGCGGAGCGGCGACACGGGCGGCAGGCGCGGACAGGCGCGGCAGAGGCTGACGGCGGCGGCGACCAGGCGGTCGGCCACCACGGCATGCACGCGCGGGAAGCAACGGGCGGCGTGGCGATTTGGGCGGCGTCGGCGGGAAGCGGCAGCGAGGACGGAGGGCGCTCGGCTCGGCGCGGCTCACGCGCACGCGCGCGCGGCGCACGGGCAGAGCGGGGGAGAGAGGGAGGGAGAGAGAGAGAGAGAGAGAGAGAGAGAGATAGGGAGGGAGGGAGAGATGGGCCGAGAGGAATTCGGCCCATCGAACCTGAGGGAGGCAAAATAGACTTTTGCGGAGGGATTTGATTTGGGAAGGATTTGGATTTGGGAATGAACTTGACGATAGATCGGGGATTTGAGATCTGGAATGGCACAGAGACTGACTGCAAGCGAAGAAACAATTTTCGCAATTAGGGTTTTTAGGAATT